GCTGCTGATGGTGATGTTGATGGTGATGGTGATGGTGATGATGGTGATGCTGCTGCTGCTGATGGCGATCGTGATGATGATGGTGATGGTGATTGTGATGGTGATGGTGATGATGATTGTGATGGTGATGGTGATGATGATGATGATGATGATGATGATGATGATGATGATGATGATGCTGATGATGATGATGATGATGATGATGATGATGATGATGATGCTGATAATGATGATGGTGAGGATGATGGTGAGGATGTTGGTGATGCTGATAAGGATGACTGGGACGAGGAGGAGGAGGAGGAGGAGGAGGACTGGGGAGTATGGGGATGGAGGTGGAGTAATGGAGAGTATGGGCAGGAGGAGGAGCAGGGGGAGGAGGAGGAGGAGGAGGAGAAGGAGAAGGAGGAAGAGGAGGAGGAGGAGGAGGGAGGAGGAGGAGGTGGAGGAGGAGGAGGAGGAGATGGAGGAGGACGAGGAAGAGGAGGAGGAGGAGGAGGAGGAGGAGAGGAGGAGGAGGAGGAAGAGGAGGAGGAGGAGGAGGAGGAGGAGGAGGAGGAGGAGGAGGAGGAGGAGGAGGAGGAGGAGGAGGAGGAGGAGGAGTAGGAGGGGAAGCCCTGAGAGTCTGGCGACGCAATGTTCTGGCAGCTGGCGATTTTGCTTCGTTTATGGGCCCAGGGTCATCACAGATCCATCTGGCTCGATCATGGCTCCCGTCCTGATTTATCCCGTTGCGCCGCCGCGCGATTGCGCCACCGCGCTCGGGCGGGCGCTGGGGGGGGGCCCATGAGGGCAGGCTGAGGGGAGGGTTCTTGGACCCCCCCCCATCCCCAGGCTCTGTATCTGGGACCGTCTCATGCCCGGAGAGGAGGAACTGCAGGGGCCTCCGCCCTGATTTGCTTAAGCTGTTGAGTTTTCGTTTGTAACGTCGGATCTCAGAGCTGAGGAGGAGGGAAAGGATTAGGGTGAGGGTGGGTGGATTGTAGTTTTGATGCGGGAGGGTGGGTCAGGTCCTTCTGTGCTTACTCTGGATCCTTGCTCTGCTTATCCAGCTTTTCTTGCCTGTTCCGCGATCTTTTCAGTACTACTGCCGCACTTCACGCTTTTTTCCTCTTACACTCGTTCTCTTGGGATTTGTTTGCGCCCGTCCCTATAAGAGTTCGAGCAGCTGAGGGGCGCAACAGCTTCGAGCTAATGTTTGGGCAACGTGAAACATTTCTGGAGGAGGAGGAGGAGGAAAACGGGGGCAAGAGGCATTTGGCGGAATTCCGCCGACTGACCTGGTGGCTGGTTGGGGCTGAAGGGCCTCTTGAGGCCCGTTCCCAAACTGCGGCCCGCCGTTTTGTTCGCCCGCTGTTTTGCTTCAGAACGGCCCGCGCGTCGCTGTCCAGCGTTTTCTCTCAAAATTCTTTCTTACCGAACACCATCATGTTAAGGACTGGCACCGTAGTTTACATTATACATTCGGCTGTCGCCGCGTGTCCATGGAGCTCTAAGTTCCCAGGTCGCGTTTACAGGGCCCTCTGCCGCATCATGGGAAAAGCATCCTGGCGAAGGATCCAGCCATATGCAGTTGTGAATACCGCAAATATGAATATCATCTTTGCCCACGCTCCCTGTGGGGCCACGGACCGTGTGAGGGGCGTGCCGACATGCGTGGCGGGTCAGACAACACGAACGAAGACGATAAGTCAGTGTGCGAGAGACTGTGAGCGGGTCAGTGTGAGCGCGAGTGAGTCTCATTGTGACTGAGTCTGCGCGCGCGTGAGTCTACGTGCGTAAGTGTCGACGCCCATGTCGGCACGCCCCTCACGAAGATCGCGCCCGTTTCCTCCCCGTTCTTTTCCCCCTCTTTGCCCGCGCGCGCCCATGTCCAAAGCTGCGGGCGCGGCGCCGCACGGAGTCCCCGCGACGCGCGCTGGTCGCCCCGAAGGGGTCCCGGCGATGCGCGCGGGTCTTCCGCTTCGCGGAGCAGACAGAGCTAGCAGGCTGGCCGATAGCGGGCAAGTCTCTGGCCGCTGGGCAGAGCGAGAGTTCCCGCGACGCGCGCTGGTCGCCCCAAGAGGGTCACAGCGACGCGCGCGGGTCGACCGCGGCGCGAGGCCAAACAGTCAGACCGTCGAGAGACGGGAGGCTCGGGCGGGTCGCTCCTCAGGTCAAGCCTCGCGGATAAACTCGGTGAAGCCCAGCTCCCTGGCGAGGGCCGTCGCCTTCCTTCTGCACCGCTTCGTGCGCGCAGCAAGCTGCTCCAGCTGCTTCCGCAAGCCTTCCGGCGGCCCTGCCAGGAAGAACTCGATGCGCGGCGCCCGCGTGAGCAGGAGGTCCTCGTGGCGCGTGGCGTGCGAGAGCAGCGCGTAGAGCTCCAGCCACCGGTCGTCGTCCTCCTTCTTGCCGTTCCCGACCTCGTGGCGGCCGCAGTCCAGGATTATGCTGGGGTGATATCGGCCGAGGGAGCAGCGCGCCGGACAGCCGACGGCCCAGGGCGAGAGTCCACGGGACCGAGAGAAATAAGGCGGCGGGGCCATGCGGACTGCGCCACTGGGGCCTTAGTTGGAGCTTCCTTGGGGCCACGAAACGTGCGAGGGGTGTGCCAAAATGGGGCGGCGGGGCCATGCGAGCTGCGCCACTGGGACCTTAGGAGGAGCTCCTTATGGGACCACGAAACGTGTGCGGTGCGTGCCTCAATGGGGCAGCGCCGCCATGCGAGTTGCGCCGCTGTGACATTAGTTGGAGCTCCCTATGGGGCCGCGAAGCTTGCGAAAAGGTGTGCCGACATGGGTGGCGGGGGCGATGATGATAACGATGCTGATGATGAGGATGTGGACGAGGGCGATGCTGCATATATGATGCTGATGGATGATGGGCGATTGTAATGGTAGTGACGATGATGCTGATGATGGGGAGAGGGAGGAGGGGCAGCGGGAGGAAGGAACGCGGGGCGCTGTCTCTTCAAAACGAAGACCCGACACCACAGGATGGTTGGAAACGCTTTTCACCTACAGCCGTGCCCGAAACGGCCAGGTCGGTCGCAATCCCCGCGGGCCTGCGCCCGCCGGATTTTGGTCATGGGTCGTTTCGCTACGTGTGGTGCCTTTCTGAAGGGGCTATTGTTCATCCCCGAGGATACGGGGGAAGAGAAGGGTAACGAGGAGGAAGAGGAGGAGGTGGAGGAGGAGGAGGTGGAGGAGGAGGCGGGGGAGGAGGAGGAGGAGGAGGAGCATAATGATGATGATGATGATCATGATGCTGCTGATAATGATGCCGCTGAGGATGGTGGTGGTGATGATGATGCTGACCATGATGGTGCTGCTGCTTCTGATGATGCTGCTCATGATGGTGATGATCGTGTTGGTGCTGATTGTGGTGGCGATGGTGACGATGCTGATGGCGGCGACGATGATGATGATGCTGCTGATGATTATCTTGATGATGGTGGTGCTGGTGATGATGATGGCGGACACGATGAGAACGAGCATGAAGATGATATTGATGACGAAGATGCTGCTGCTGGTGATGATGACGGGGGTGACGGTGATGATGCTGATCATGATGATGATGGCGATGATAAGACTGATGATGATGATGAAGAGGAAGAGGAGGATAATGATGAACATGATGATGAGGACGGGGGAGGAGGCGGAGGATGCGGAGCAGGAGGGGGAGGAGAAGGAGGAGGAGGAGGAGGAGGAAAGGGGGTATGATGATGACGAAGAAGGAAATTATGATGATGATGATGATGATGATGATGATGATGATGATGATGATGATGATGATGATGATGATGATGATGATGATGCTGCTGATGATGATGATGATGATGCTGATGATGATGATGATGACGATGATTGTGGTGATGCTGATGATGATGTTGATGCTGCTTCTGATGATGATGCTGATATGACGATGATGATGCTGACGCTGATGTTGATGCTGATGATGATGATGATGATGAGGAGGAGGAGGAGGAGGAGGAGGAGGAGGAGGAGGTGGTGGAGGATCAGAGCGAACCCAGGATACGTCGACGATGCTGCAGTCCGTTCTCCCGTCCCGAGTCCCCTTCCTCGGAAGTTCCTACTAGCATTCCTTGTCTCTGCGGGAAGGACCCCTGTGATGACGAGCGCCCCAATGGTTTGCAGCTCAGGCGAGGGACCTGTTTTGAAGATGAGCCGCGCCGCATCATTCTAGCTGTAAACATGCGACTAGGTACATCCCGCATAATGTCCAATGGAAGGTCCAGCGAGCCAACCAGTTTGAAAAGGAGCCGCCCTCCATTCCACAAGTCCCTTATCGAACAGGAGCAGAACGCCATCTTTGTATGTGTTGGAAGCCTTGCGATGAACGTGTACGGCGGTAAGGCGAGAGCCGCATGCTGGGAAGGAGTCACACTCCAGTTCTGTGACGACTGGAAGCTTTTCAAACGAATTTGCGCGCAGCGAGGGCGAGAGCGACGCTTTCAGAGCCACCCGCTTTTCACACGAAGTTGCGCGTCGCGAGGGCGAGAGCGACGCCTTGAGAATCACCCGCCCTCCATCCTTATACTCTGATGCGCTTCGTGTCCACTGTGCGTGGCGCTGAGGCGAGAACCACATGTTGAAAACCACCCGACGTCCAGCTTTGTACCTGTTGAAGTTTCAATCTTCAGGCTCATTAGCGGCGAGAAGGTCTCAGAAAGAGGAGGGGGAGGAGGAGAGGGATGAGGAGGAGGAGGAGTAGGAGGAAGACGAGGAGGAGGATGCTACATTCCTAGGAGGAGGAGGAGGAGGAGGAGGAGGAAGAGGAGGAGGAGGAGGAGGAGGAGGAGCATGAGGAGGAGGAGGAGGAGGAGGAGGAGGAGGAGGAGGAGGAGGAGGAGGAGGAGGAAGGCGCCGCCGCCGCCGCCGCCCAGCACACCAAAGGCCGCTGCAGGCCGCCACATGTCGCCGAGGGCACGCGGAGGGCCTCCGAGGGCCGAGGGGCGGCCGCCTCCCCGCGGCAGCGACGGCGACGGGCCTCCCCCGCCCGAGGCCCTGGGCGCGGTGGCCGAGGCCCTGCTGCCGGCCGAACTGGCGCTGGTCGCGACTTGCCGCGGCGTGGCGGCGGCCGCCGCGGGGCGGCACGAGGCCGCCGCCCGCTGCCGCAGTCGGCACCGCCGCTGCCGCCCCGCCGTCGTCGCCGCCGTCGCCGTCGCCGCCGCCGCAGACGGCACCGCCGCAGACGGCACCGCCGCCGCCGCCCCGCCGTCGCCGCCGCCGCTGCCGCCGTCGCCGTCGCTGCCGTTGCCGTCGCCGCCGCCATTTCCGTCGCCGCCGCCGCCGTCGCAGCAGATAGTACCGCCGCCGTCGCTTGGGGGTCGCTTGGGGGCGGCCAAGAGGAGGGTGAGGACTGGGACTGGACTGGGAAGAGGGCGGCGGTGGCCCCAGCGGCACTCTTATGTCTTGCGAGCTGATGGCGTGTTGCTCCGCTCCACGGGGTGGGAGGCTGGGGAGTGCTCAGGACGTTGACGCTTGGATTTGGGGACGCGGGTCGCGTATCGCGCCGAAGCGTGGTGGGCCAGAACCAACGGAGCGACACGCTGAGCCAAGGTTCCTGACCGTAAGGGGGAGCGGGTCCTTGCCCTTTCTTCTTGCTATCGCTTCCTGGACTTCGACACGTCCCTTGGCCCCCTTCCCTTGTCTGCGCACATGCCTCCGGCCATGCTTTGCAACCCCCTGCCCTGGACGCCCTCGAGTCGCCGCCGCTGCCGCTCCACCCCCCCGCCGTGGCCGCTGCCGCCGTCGCCGTTGCCGTCGCCGTCATCGATGTAGATTCGACGATCGAGGGTCGAGGTTCGACGGACGAGGACTGGGCTTCCTGGTGCGCCTTTGGCCTTCCGTGGGTCCTTTGGAGGCGTCCAGGTGACCTACAGCGACCTGCAGGGACCTCGGGTGACCTTCGCGGAGCAAGGCTCGTGTTCGCAAGCGCCGTCGTTGCCACCGTCGTCGTCGCCGTTTTCGTCGACGACCTCGCGGATCGAACAAGTCGTGCCGGAGGCTTTGCACCGTTTTCGGCCTCTTCGGGCCCGTTTTGTGCTCCGGGGTGGTTAGAAATCGATTCGGGATGATAGGCGGCGTCCAGAGACAAATTTTGGCAAGATTTTGGTCGTGGTGGTCGTCGTCGTTGTCGTCGTGGTCGTCGTCGTCGTGGTGGTCGTCGTCGTCGTCGTGGTCGTCGTCGTGGTCGTCGTCGTTGTCGTCGTGGTCGTCGTGGTCGTCGTTGTCGTGGTTGTCGCCGTCGTCGTCGTCGTCGTCGTCGTCGTCGTCGTCGTCGTCGTCGTTGTCGCTGTCGCCGTCGCCGTCATCGTCGTCGTCGTCGTCGTCGTCGTGGTCGTCGTCATCGTGGTCGTCGTCGTCGTCGCTTCGTCGTCGTCGTCGTTGTCGCCCTCGTCGTTGTGGTGGTTGTCGTGGTTGTTGTCGTCGTCGTCGGCGGCGTCGTCGTCGTCGTCGTCGTACCTCCTTATCCTCCTCCTCCTCCTTCTCCTCCTCCTTTACTGATACTGCTCAGCTGGTGCTGTTTGCCCTCCTCGTTATCGCTCACGTCCTCGTCGTCCTCCTCCTCCTCCTCCTCCTCCTCCTCCTCTACCTCGCCCCCCCCTCCTCCACAATATCGCTATCTCAGTACTACCTTCCTCTCTCCCCTGATATCGCCCCACCATTTACCTACTCTCCCCAATCTGGTTGATGCATGCAGTATTGTTCCGCTGCCCTTACAACGGGTTTGAACCATATTGTCAGTAACATGTGCTCTTGTCGATCGGAATGTTTTCGGTCATTCAAAATGGTGCTCTCGCTACAGCGCTGGCCACGTTCACGGATCGGTGCCTTGTCCCCGTAGTTCAGAATGGCGCTCTCGCCCCAGCGCGGGTGACACTTCTGGGTCTGGATCCCTCTTCGCTGTTGCCGTCCTCCTCCTGTCCCCTCCTCCGCCCCCGCAGCTCCTCATGTTCCTCCTGTTTCCTTTACTCTTTCTACTGGTTCTCCTCCTTTTCTTGTCCGCCCTCCTCCTCCTCCTCTTCCTCCTCCTCTTCGAATGTGCACGAACCCCACGCCGACCGTGCAACAAACGACTTGTCAACTCCTGGAAGCGTCGTTCTGAGATCAAGGCCTCGCTGGACACCTCAGTCGGCGGATAGAAGGGCATCAAAAGCAGCGGGAAGGGTTGGGCGCGCAGTGTAGCATGCCAAATGTGGCGCGAGCGCGCTTGGGTCCTCCTCGCCTCTCTCATCCCCGTGCGGGTGCCCCTCGCTCTCCTCGTGTTCGTCGCCATCGTTTGTATTCCTGCCCCGCCTTCCTCTTCCTGCTCCTTCCCAGTCCGTAGCCGTTTTGGCCCAAGTTTGTGGCGATGGGCTCAGGGACCCGGGCATCCTGGCGAGGGGAGTTCGGCGGCCCCACCCTTCAGCATACGTCCACCAGTTTCTTTGTTTTGCTCTGCTTCTGCTCCTCGGCGCACCCCGGCCCGCCCCCCCGGCCGCCGGAGGCCCCGCCCGCCTATGCCCCGTCTCCCCAATTAGTGCTCTGCGTGGCCCGCCTAGCTCTTGAACGGAAGAGGCTCGCCCTCGACCCGCAGACCAAACGACAAGGTTTTGCTCCTCGCTTCTACAGCCCCTGTCGGGCCGGACGAGAGGGGGGGATTGGGGAAGGGGGGGTGACGAAATTTGCTGCATGCAGCTGGTTTCGGCCCCGCCGAGGGGCCCATTCCTCGGTACATGGGCGCCTCCCGGCGCCGGGAGGCGCCGGGAAAATCAGCTACGTGAGCTGACTCTCAAACGCCCCCTTTGCTATCCCCCCCTGTCGCCCGACCCGACACCGTCCAAGGAGTCAGGCCTGGACGGCCGCTCCAGCTGCTCCACGGTCTCAAGAGGCGGAGGACCGCGAGGGCGAAGCCGCGGTGCTGTAAGCGCATCTGGTCTACGTCCAGGGGGGGCGGCGACGGGTCGAATGTTTTCGTCTTGTGCAAGTCCAAGAATGTAGAAGCGAAATCCGACGGCCCAAATTCTAAATAAGACGGCACATTCTGCAATGATCCCATAACATTCTCAATGGAGGCAATGCGATCCTGCAAAATGTCTGTCGCGAAACCGATGAGGGCGATCCTCTTGTTCGCGGGTGTTGGGACCGAGCGGACCTTGACCATTGCAGCCCCTGCAAGCAGGTCAAGGTCACCACGTTCGACGGGGACCGTGCGATCCCTTCCGCCTCTTTCCGTGGGCGTCCAGCAGCCTAGTCCAACGGGGGCGGTGGAGGCATTTCACAGGAGTTGTCAGAGATCAAGGGGTTCGAAGTTCAAGAGTCAGCAGAGCCAACAAGGGGCACCCACCGGCGAGGCAGTGGAGGTTGACGGGAAGGCCGGTGGGGGCCAAGACTCGGACGTCAAGCATGAGTTGTTTTAGGTCGCTTCGCAGATGTCGAAGCCCGATGGGGCAGGCGGCTGCCAGGAATTGAACAAGGCGAGGGGTAAGCCACGGAACCGTCAGGTCGAGCTCCGCAAGCGTATTATCGCGGGCAAGAGCCTGGACACCAGGCCCACGGATATGTCATCTTTGCACGCTAAATTGGGGAAGAGGAAAGATAAAGCGCAGCTCGTCGACACGCTGTGCGCCAATGTCGTGGAGGCCGTGGAGAAGCTGGGCCAGCTGTTGGTCCCTCTTCGGCGGATCTCATGAGCTCGCGGCGCGCCTCCACGAGTGCCTCCCCCAGCTGCGCGACGCGGAGGCGGCGCACCGTGCGGAGGTGGAACGCGGGGCGGCGGAAACGGCAGCATCTGCAGCCCATGCGCAGGCCTCGACAGCCGCGGCAGGCGGAGCCGCTGCCGGCAGCGGGCCGAGCCAGGCAACCGCTGCAGCTGTGCTTCAGGCGCCATGTCCCAGGAGGCGCAGGCTGCCGCCCCAACGTCAGGCACGCCGACTTGGATCCCGAATGCGACGGGGGATGTTGAGACGTGTGAGGCAGTCTTGCAGCCAGTCAACGTCGCAGTCCCCGAGGATGACGAGGATATGCAGGAGGCGGTCGGGAGGGTCTGGACGAACCTGGCCTTGTTCGCGAACAGGCAGAGGACAGCGGAGCCTGCGGCGGCGCCCGTTGCCTAGGACATTGGTGACGTTTTGCTGACGGTTTGGCACGATGATGACACCATCCATGGCGAATGTTGCAACACTCGCGACGGTCAGCACGACCTCGCGCGAACCCTTGGCTGGATTGCTCGGAACCGAGGGGTCTGCATTTGGGGAATGGTTGCGTATCTTTTGTTGTCAGGGGCATCGGCTACTTTTAAGTTTGTTTCAGCACATTCCAGGCAGCAGGATATCATGGTGCTCTCCGCGGCAACAGGCATATGCCGTGCATGCAAAACAGAGGATCTAGTGCAGGTGTTGTGGTGTTTGTCCTACTTCCATTCAGGTCACATGCCCACCGCTAGTCGGAATTATAGTTTGATTGCCTGCTCGAGCGGTTGCGTGGCACATGTTCGCGGCACTCAAGGGCATCATGCTTGTCCCGTTCTATCTAATATCCTTCGGCCCATCCCGCCACCTTGCCTCGTTTGTGGGTATGAAGCGTGTTGGATGTTCGTCGGGATGCCGTGGGAGGCTTCTCGGGAGCCTCTTGGAGGCAGTTTGGGCGGGGACCATTTGGGGGCCTCTTTTGGGACTCGTTTGGGCCTCTTGGGGCCTCTTGGGGCCTCTTAGGGCCTCTTGGGGGCCTCTTGGGGGCCTCTTGAGGCCTCCAGGGCGCCTCTTGGGGCCTCCTGGGGGCCTCTTGGGGCGGAAGGCTAAGATTTCTTGTTTTTGTTTTTTTGTTGGAGGGTTGTTTTTTGGGGGGCTGTCTTGGGGCCTTCTTGGGCCGCTTGAAGCGCCTCTTGGGCTGTCTTGGGGCCACCTTGGGTGGTTTTGGGGCCCCTTGGAGGCCTCCTGGCCCTTCTTGTGGAGGCCTCTCGGGCCGTCTGTGGGCGTCGGATGGCCGTAAGGGTGAGAGCGCCAGAATCCGTCAACAACGTAAGGGACCTACGTGATTCGGGCCTCTTGGGGCCCTCTCGGGGTGTTTCTTGGGGGCCTCTTTGGGCGTCTTGGGAGCCTCTTGGGCCGTCTGGGGGCCATCTTGAGCGTCTTGGGGCGATCGTTCGGCAACTCGGGGCACGCTTGGGCCGGCTCGGGCGCTTCTTGGGGCCCTCTTGGCCCGTCTTGGGGCCTCTTGGGCCCGACAAATTCATGCGACCGCACTCGGGGGGGGGGCCAGGAGAACCGCGATGAACCCTCAGAGATACCATCCCTCAGGGGTGAGGACTGAGGCTTAGAAGGGGTAGTGGGGGGACCTGAGGACATGCCCACTCCGTGCCCAGAGGCATGGTGGGGGATTTTTGGGCTGACGAAGATTTCGGGATGGACAGCACCAGTCTGCTCAAGGCGGCGACCAGTTACATTCCAAGGGTGCAGGCAATTGGATATGATTGGGCGGTGGGGCCGATTTCGACATGGCACCTTCCTTGCTTCATTCTTGGGCGTCGGCGCTCAGCAGCATATTGGCTGCAAGCGCTGAGCCCACGTGCACGCAGTCTTTTCCAGGCGCTGTGTTGGATCATTTCGTTGTTCGCCCGAATGTTGCCATCGGAACCGCGCCCTCCTGTCAGTGATCCTAGCTGCCAACCTGTTGCCGCGCAGTCCAGTCTCGTTGAAGGTGATAGGGGCCTCGTGCGGGGATGTCGGCTAGAGTGGCGAGGCAACACATATTGCTTCCATTGTTCGCTCCTCCAGGTTGATCGGGGTACCCCAAGCAATGGACCAGTTTTCACGAGAAGGTCGGTGTGCTTGGATGCGCTGATTGCTGGAGTTGAGGACGGGCGGTTGGACAGACACGGCTTGGTGGGCGAGAAAAGGTATCGCTTCGACGGCAGAGCAGGACCTCGCGAAGCTGTTTGGCATGCAAGTCCTGCAGTGCCTCAGATTCGGCTGCCGCGGGCGGACATTGAATGCTCAGCATTGTGTGCAGCAGGCAGGTGCGCGCGATTGACCAGGAGAAAACATGCGGCTCTCGGCGCGTACGTTTTCAAGCTCAGCGGGGAGGGTTCGGAGCAGCGCAGGAGGATGATGAGGGTCGCCAGGCGATTGCATGAGGCTACGTCGCGCTTTTCTCATTCACGCTCGGGAGCCCCAGGGGCTTTTGGATCAGGTTGACACGCTCACGCCTTTTTTTGTTTGTTTGTTTGTTTGTTTTTTCGTTTTGTGGTGTTCTTCGGGATGCGATGTCTTGGGGGTCTCAGGGGCCGACGACCTGGTCCAGAGGGTCCTGAGTCGGGCTGAGCTCCAGCAGGTTCGGCTTCTAGCCCTCAGGGATGCCTCCTGGAAGCCCTGGGGCAAGGGCAGTTTCTTCGTGGGCGCCAGAGGGGCCCGTGACGAGTGGGCCCAGATCTGGGCCGCCCATAGGTGCCGAGCTCCGTCTCTGCCTGCAGGTCGTGCGGGCTGGCCGGCTTTGCCTGGCATCGCCGTCTCGGATCTGAGAACAGCTATCGCCAACTTCCCCGCCAGGACCGCGGTGGTGCGCCGCGGGGTTCGTTTGCGGCCCCTCCAGCATTTGGCCGACGAAGCTCTCGGTGCGATTATGGCGATGCTACAGTGGGGGCGCGTGGATTCTGCCAGGGTGCCCTGGGTGTCTTGGATTTCGATGGGCCCCGAATAAGATCTTCACGATTTTCGATTGACGAATTTGGATTTTCATTGAACGAACCGCGGATTTCAGGGTTGGGTTTCTTGCGGAGGTTTCTTGTGGCCGAGCTCCCACTGTAGCCAGCTGCGGGAGATGCAGGCTGGCCAACTGCCTGGTGAGGATTAGCAGGCCAGACGGAGGCCACAGCCTCATCTCACCTGTCGGTTCCCTGCTCCGGGCAGCCACGGGGCAGGCTGCGGCGACCCCCTTTCCGACGAGCGGGGGCGGCCCCACGGGGCGGAGAAGTTTGGGCGAGCGGCGGACGGGAAGAGTGAAGCGATTATGCTTTCGGTTTGCATGTGGCAGCCGAAGTTGCGAAGTCTAAGAGCCACCATCAGGTGACAGCTCTCCTGGACATGGTAAGACGCTATCATGTGATTGAGCTGTCTTTGCTGATTTTTTTTTTGTGCGTTGTCCGCGGAATTTCCGTGATGCTGTTTTTCTCTTCGGCTGGCGTCGGTGTTCATCCAGAGTTGCATGGCCGCCGAAGGGGATTGATGCGTGCGGATCTTTGTCAGAACCATCCGTAGCTTACCAAGGTTTCTTCGCGGGTTGCTCGGCGGCGTCAGCGGTCAAGCTAGCGCTGTTGCTTCAGCCCATCAGGTGCACGATTGAGCGTTTCAGCTGCGTGCAGGCGAGCTTTAACAAATGATGTGTCTTCAGAGTGGCAAGGCGAGGACCATAGCCGAGCATTCAAGGCGCTCGTCGCAACTAAAGAGCTCTGCAGACAAGTTGCTCCTGTTGGCCTTCTGCTGCAACCGAATGAGTCTGGATATGTTGCGCATCGAGCCATGT